TTTATCAACTAAGTTTCTATAATATTTAAAATGCTTTGTTGTTATTTCAACATGTTTACAGCATCTTCACCAGGAGTAGATTCCATCTCAAGAAACCACTTTCTTTGCTCATCCATAAGAAGCAACTCATCATTCACTCAAGTTTGATCATGAGATTGCAGCAATGCAGTCACATCTTTAGGCTTCACTTCTACCTCTAGTTCTCTAGCTATTTCCACCACATCTGCAGTTCTTTCTTTTACTGAATCTTCAACTCCTCAAAATCATCCACAAAGGTTGGACTCAACTCCTTTCAAACTCGTGGTAGTTTGATATGTTCATAATGGCACTTAGAATGATAAATGCTTTCCAATAGGTTTCAATTTATTTTGCCCAGATCCAGACTTGGAAGCTGAAAGGACTCCTTGGTCCATGGGCTGCAGAACGGACATTGTGTTAGCAGGCAGGAAAGCAACATTCATCTCCTTGTGTGTCTCCAGCAGAGCTTTTGGGTTCCTAGGTCCATTGTCAATGAGCAGTAATATTTTGAAAAGAATATTTTTTTTCCAAGCAGTAGATATCAACAGTGGGCTTAAAATATTCAGCAAACCATGCTGTAAACAGATGTGCAGTCATCTAGGCTAGAGCACTGGCAGAGTAGATTTAGCATCATTCTTAAGGGCCCTAAGATTTTCAGAATGGTAAATGAGCGTTGACTTCAACTTAAAGTCATCAGCTGCACTAGCCCCTAACAAGATAGTCAGGCTGTCCTTTGAAGCTTCAAAGCCAGGCATTGTCTTCCCCTCTCTAGCTGTGAATGTTCTAGATGGCATCTTCTTTCCTTTGGAGCTTCAAAGTCAGGCATTGCCTTCCCCTCTCTAGCTATGAAAGTTCTAGATGGCATCTTCTTTCAATAGAAGGCTATTTCATCTACATAGAAAACCTGTTGTTCACTGTGGCCACCTTAATCAATGATCTTAGCCAGATCTTCTGGACAATTTGCAGCTGCTCCATCAGCACCTGCTGCTTCACCTCACACTTTTATGTTATGGAGACAGTTTCTTTCCTCAAACCTCATGAACCAACCTCTGCTAGCTTCAGACTTTTCCTCTGCAGCTTCCTCATCTCTCTCAGCCTTCATACTATTGAAGAGAGCTGGGGCCTTTCTCTGGATTAGGCTTTGGCCTGGGGGAATGTCATGGCTGGTTTGATCTTCTATCCAGACCACTCAAACTTTCTCCATATCAGCAATAAGCCTGTTTCACTTTCTTATCATTCATGTACTCATTGGAGTGGCGCTTTTAAATTCCTTCAAAAGGTTTTCCTTTGCATTCACAACTTGGCTAACTGCATAGTGGAAGAGGCCTAGCTTTCAGCCTATCTTGTTCCTTGACATGCTTTCCTCATTAAGCCTAATCATTTCTAGCTTTTGATTTAAAGCAAGAGACATGTGACACTTCCTTTCACTTGAACACTGAGAGGCCATTGTAGGGTTATTCATTGGCCTAAATTCAATATGGTTATATCTCAGAGAATAGACAGGCCAGAGCAGAGGGAGAAAGATGGGGAACAGCTGTTGGTGGAGCAGTCAGAACACACACAACATTTATCAACTAAGTTTGCTGTCTTATGTGGGTGTGGTTTGCGGTGCTCGAAAACAATTACAGTGGTAACATCAAAGACACTGATCACAGATCACTGTAACAGATAGAATAATAATTTAAAAGTCTGAAATATTGTGAGAATTACCAAAACGTGACACAGAGACCCCAAAGTGAGTATATACTGTTGGAAAAATCATGCCAGTACTCTTGCTCCATGCAGGGTTACCAAAAACCTTCCATGTGTAAAAAAACACAGCATCTGTGGCTCAATAAAGTGAAGCCCAATTAAATGAGGTGCATCTGCACTCAGGATAAGTTTTGCTTTCATCCCTCCTCTAAGGAGAGGAAAAGGGCTCAAATTCGAGGTCCAACTATGTGTCAGGCATTTGATATTAGGGTCTTTCACTTAATTCTCATAGGAGATTTATCACAAATTTCCCAAACAAGAATCAGCCTCATAGAAGTGAGCCTCCTGAGTGAGACTCTATGGCTCCTAAGTGGGGAATCTAGGGCTCGAACCTAGGTCTTGCTGATCCCATGTTTTTCTCACTATCACTGGATACTTCCTTCTTATGCAAAGAGAGAAATGCAAATTCTACAAGAGAAAAATGGGCTCGCAGTCCAGACAAGCATCTTGATTAATGTCTGGAGGTCATGTTAAAAGGTTAGAAAGTTGGTTTTGTCTGCTAGGCATGGTGGCTCATGCCTGTAATCCCAGTACTTTGGGAGGCCGAGGCGGGCGGATCACCTGAAGTCAGGAGTTCGAGACCAGTCTGGCCAACATGGTGAAACCCTGGCTCTACTAAAATTACAAAATTAGCTGGGCGTGGTGTCATGTGCTTGTAATCCCAGATACTCAGGAGGCTGAGGCAGGAGAAGAGCTTGAATTTGGGAAGCAGAGGTTGCAGTGAGCCGAGATTGCACCGTTGCACTCCAGCCTGGTCCAGAAGGGCGAAACTCTGTCTGAAAAAAGAAAAGTTTGTTTTGTGATGGCAGCTGTTGCTAATCAGGGTGTGGAGTCAGGAGCATACGTCTAGGGTTGGAGAGCTTAGGAGCTTAGGTGTAGGAGCTTCAGTCTAGTCAAGAGCTTAGGTCTAGGGTTGAACTCAGATCTCGACATGGACCAGGCTTTCCCCTTGTCTCAGTGCCTCATTTT